AGGCAGGATGTCATCAGAACATATGTGTGATTTCAGGTCAATGCAAGATGAACAAGAAGGCCTGGCGTCTGGTGTGACCCCAACTGCCACGGGAGACCACCGCACGCGGGAGTCTGAGGACGAACCACCGGTCTCGGCCAACATCGTGGTAACTGAAGCGTAGGTCACCTTTCAGGCATGCACCAGATCATCTGCACATTACTCGTCTGTCTGGCTAACGCACAATCCTTTTCTTTGTAATGGGGACGCTATGGTTGGGGAGGAGGAAACGTGCTTCCCAAGCGAAAAGCCCTCGGAAGAGGACATGCAAGGACCGAGCAACGATTTCCGCGGACATTTGGACAGCACAGGTTGGTCTCATGTAATAATTTAATGCCTCTTCCGAGATTTTACATATTCCTCCTGAAAGGCGCTTGTACAAATAATGTTGTGTACATCTTCTGTTCAGAAGACGATGATCCCACTAAAATGGAACCACGTCTCCTGGATGACGAGAGCGGTGAGGGAGACTTCAGTTTCAAATTTGACGTCGGATTCAGCCAGTGGAAAACATAAGACGCGCCTCTCGTTCCTTGCAGATTCCCCATGTCCTTCGCAACAACGGAGAAGACGAAGACGCGTTCGCCTTGGTCGGGCGATCCGACGAATGTTACGTCGTCTCGTTTGTTGTGGAAGGATGGACACACAGAAGTGTGCACATTGCCCCTCTGTCGGCCGCCTGATATGTGTGGAAGCTCTCTGGATTCTTGCTTGTATTTTTAAAAGAAATTTGGCCTGGTTCGTTAGCTGCATGGCGGTTTTACAATTAGCTGTCCATTGCATCGAATACTGTGCTGTGAAATCAAAATCGGCGAAATATGTTGCGAGTAAGTATATGCTATGTTGAACTATTTTCTAGTCTTCTGAGTTGTATGACAGTTTTTCAACTGGCCGGACATTGCAAAGACTGTACAGTATGTTACGCGTGAGTATACCTTTGACAGACTTGCATCCGATAATCTGCACAC